ATTCTGTTTTATTTTATTTATTTTTGTTTATTTTAATTTTCCTTTATTTTAATTTACATTAATTCGTTTTTTAGCTCCTTGTTTCAATTTATAATTTAGTATAAGTTCATTTAATTTTAATTTTTTGTTTAATTTTCTATTAATTTGCTTTATTTTACTTTGATTTATTTTATTTTGTTTTATTTTGTTTCGTTTTATTTTATTTTTAATTAAAATAACGTATTTTTTATTTTATTTTATTTTATTTTATTTTATTTTATTTTATTTTATTTTATTTTATTTTATTTTATTTTATTTTATTTTATTTTATTTTATTTTATTTTATTTTATTTTATTTTATTTTATTTTTTTTTTTATTTTATTTTAAATTATTTAAATTTATTTTATTTTGTCTCTTTTTGTTTTGTTTTATTTTATTTTATGTTATTTTGTTTTATTCTGCTTTTTATTTTATTTTGTCTAGTTTTAGTTCAATTTTATTTTAACTTATATTATTCTTTTGTATTTTTAATTATTTCTTTTCGTTCGAAGTGCTCAAATTTTTGAGCATTTACAGCCTTAATAAATAGAAATTATGAAATTATTATTTATATTCACTTATAAAAGTTCAATTTTGCTAATATACATTTTATATATATATATTTTCTCAATATGTACATTATTTTAATACTTTCTTTTTTTTCTGGCATTTCATGAATTCGATTATTTTTTTACATTAAAATTAGAAAATTGCTGCACTGTGCAAGACCTTATAAAAAAATTATATTTACAATTTGTGTTCCTTTTAGTTTGGTTTTGGTATTTTTACCTCCTATTTATATATTAACTAAATTTAATTTCTTCTATTTTTATTTTTTATTGTTTATACCTTTTCCCATTTTATTTACACATCATCTTGTACTAAAGTGAAAAGCAGCGAGATCCCGCTTCCACTTATAACTCTTACTTATAATTTTGCTGCCTTTATTTTTGTTTAAAATCACATTCTCTTTCCATTCATCCCCTTATGAGCTGCTGAAGCATTATTTGGGGTATTCCTTTTCCAAAAAGAAGGAGCAACAACTTTGAAAAAATATAAATTTCATTTGTTTCGAATGTTATATTGTGAGTGTTCTTGTGAAAATAATTTGCCTTCACAATTTTTTTTTAGTTTTTATTTTAGACAAATTTTTCCACACTTAGTATCTATGCATACTCTAAAAGTACTTTAGTTATATACATATGCCTATTTGTTTTCTATATATATTACCTGTTATGACTCATACTAAATACTTTGCATTTATCGGCTGTATATATTATATATACATACATATAAATATGTATATTCTGTTTATTTTCCCCGCCTTGCAATGTATAAAATATTATATTATTTATTATTTTTTTTCCTGTCTAAAATTTAATTCTTCCCTTTGTCATACACTTCAGCTGCTGCATATTTTTGTTATTACATATCAATTTAATTGTAACATGTATTTTAATATCTATTTATATGTGTATGTGCTTAAATACATGCATTTTGTATTTCGAGTAAAATTTAATTACTTACAAAATGAACTTAAAAGCTATTGATTTTCACTTAAATTTTGTTTCGGCTTATAAACACATGAATATGTATGTACATAAAATTTTGTAATTTTGCAATATAAAAAAGGATATAAAAAAACAACCACATACACATTCACATTACGGATTCTACAGTATTTGGTTTGCAATTAGTCATTGATATACCATGTGTTAATTTCGCGATTGATTTGGAAAATTCTTCTGTAAAATGCGAATTGAATTAATTAGTTGGAAGTAGGATATTTACACCGAATAACTGTGAAAGTGGCAGTAACCTTGTAGGAAAAGGCTTACAATGAGGGCAAATTAATTACTTTACGATTCGTAAAAATAAAAATTAAAAAAAAAATTAAAATTAAAATTAAAATTAAAATTAAAATTAAAATTAAAATTAAAATTAAAATTAAAATTAAAATTAAAATTAAAATTAAAATTAAAATTAAAATTAAAATTAAAATTAAAATTAAAATTAAAATTAAAATTAAAATTAAAATTAAAATTAAAATTAAAATTAAAATTAAAATTAAAATTAAAATTAAAATTAAAATTAAAATTAAAATTAAAATTAAAATTAAAATTAAAATTAAAATTAAAATTAAAATTAAAATTAAAATTAAAATTAAAATTAAAATTAAAATTAAAATTAAAATTAAAATTAAAATTAAAATTAAAATTAAAATTAAAATTAAAATTAAAATTAAAATTAAAATTAAAATTAAAATTAAAATTAAAATTAAAATTAAAATTAAAATTAAAATTAAAATTAAAATTAAAATTAAAATTAAAATTAAAATTAAAATTAAAATTAAAATTAAAATTAAAATTAAAATTAAAATTAAAATTAAAATTAAAATTAAAATTAAAATTAAAATTAAAATTAAAATTAAAATTAAAATTAAAATTAAAATTAAAATTAAAATTAAAATTAAAATTAAAATTAAAATTAAAATTAAAATTAAAATTAAAATTAAAATTAAAATTAAAATTAAAATTAAAATTAAAATTAAAATTAAAATTTAAACGTTCTGGAGACTTTCAATTAACAAATTGTGACAATATTTTTCATTACAAAAAATTTTATCGTGTTGATTTAAAATATATAAATAATTAAGAAAAATGATTTCCCAATGGGTTATTTTTCATAGACATACATTTGCTTCCAAATGTAATATATATACATAATCATTTTGAACAAAACCTTGCGCGCTTATTATGCCGCTGTTCTTGCCTGCATAATTTTATTAATTTTCGGTACAATTACAATTTTAAAACAAATTTTGCAAATAGTATATTTTCTCTCTTTCGAAATAATGAGCACAATTCTAAAAACAAATATTTACAAATTTAGTGAAAATTTTTTAAAATAAGATAAACATTTTGTTAGTTTATTAATTCATTTATTTACTTTAATTGATAATGGTGTTAAACAGTTAGATTTAAATTTTTTATGAAAAAAAGTATAATATTTGAAATTTAATTATCCTTACTCAGCCATAAAAAAAATTATTTCCCGGTAAATAGCTTTCGATAAAAAAATAAATTAATATTTGTAATACCAACAAATGTTCACGAGTATTGAATGCCGGCTACTGTATATAAATTTCAAAGAAAATTTTATTTTATTTTAATTCTTTTTTGACACATCACGCGTGCATCATGTTAAGCTTTCATGTTATTTTTTGTTCAGTAAAGTTTGCATTTCATCATGGAAAGACCTGCGCCTGAACAACGTTTACATATCGTTCCACTTTATTGCGAAAATTGTTATGGTCAACATAATAAGAAAGATATAAAAATATTAAAGTGAAAAAATTGAATTACAAGGATAAAAAAGATAGATAAAATTAAAACTGAATAAAAGGAAATACAAAAAAAATTTAAAACTCAAAGAAAATAAAAAAATTAAGAAAAAAAAATCAAATTAAAAGTAAAAAATGAAATAATTGAATTTATTAAATTAAAATAAAACACAATCAAATAAAATTAAATAAAATAAAACAAAATAAAATAGAAAAAAATAAAAAAAAATTCTCTGGTTACCTACTTTTTGACTCCATTTCATAGTAGCACCTTTGTCTTACTTACTTCAGTTAGTTACAGATAGCCAGCATCTCGTATTTATTTAGCTTCCGAAGGAAGTTTCTTCAAAATATTAATTTAAAGAAACCAAAAAGACTGGTCTGGTAATTACGTTGCAAATAAGACTGTTTTCTACCAAAAATTGAAAAATCAAAAAGACACCAAAATGAAGTCTCATTTAGTGAGTATTTTGACCAAAAAAATAAATAAATTAGTTATAATTTTGTTAATATAAAATTGTTTTAGAAGTAAGCCAATTTGTGTCATATCATTCCAACCATCTTTGCACATAATATACACTGCTGGGTATTTATATATATATATTAAATATATACAAATATATGTATATATATATATTAATAGTAATAAACACTCAGTAGCGAATACATATACTGGCTTATTTAACACAAACAATAAATTAAACTCTACTTAATTTAAAAAGTCTTAAATTCCAGTGCCTACTCATCACTGCAAACGGCCATTGACCCTCAAAAGATCAATAACAAAGTAGTAAACTTTTTAGTTCACAGAGCATAATCAGTGCTGAATCAATTCTTAATTATGCAACGCCATACACATATTCAGATAGATCATTATAGTTGTATGTGTGTAATTTTAATTACTTTGGTTTGCTATGTCTATAAATGTGTGTATGTATTTTAATCATTAATAATTTTACTTAAATTTCACTACAATCATTTCTTTGTTTTTTTTTTTTTATTTTTAACTTTTTTTTTAATTACTTAATATTTTGTATTTATGTTACCCTAGATTCACTTACTTTTACTCTTACATCTATGAATTTGTTTATTTGAATCTCTACTCCTTAACTTATTATCATTAGTTCAAGTTTTATTTGTGTGCGTGTGTGTGTATGTGGTGCAAGTAGTTAAAGAAAAAATTAAAAACCCCCGATGGGTAAGCAGCGATTAAGTGTGTGTGTCGCCCCGTGAGTCCTTTAAATGTGTTCATATAAAATCTCAAGTCGGCAGTTGGTCAGACGCTGACTCGCCGGGACCCTACCGTATACCGTTTCAAATTCGCGAAATCTCGCAGTAGTCGCCTGTGACTCACACGATGCGTAGGACGCTGAGCTGCGAGAAATTTGCTCGAGTGTTTGAGTATGCATGTCCTTCGACTTAATGCGTTTACTTTCTGCGCTACTTCGGTGGCTCCCCAGTGCACGATCTCTGCCGCAAGCCCCACGCGAACTACACACTTTTGTGGCTGCTGCGACTCCATCGGCTGTCTGTCGTTTGGCAATTGTTGCAGCAACTGCCATTTTGTATGAAATCTGTACTTATACTTAGTTGTGTCTGTGTGTGTGTTTAAGAAAAGATATATATATTTAAATATATGTGTTTATATGCGTGACCACACAACTTCATCTTCATCTCGTAATTTCGCTGAGTGCGCGTGTTGCATGCGAACTTCTTCTTTCTCTTCTGCTTCTGCTTGCGGTTGCACCACTAATGCAAATGCGCCTTGGGCTGTGGCTGCAGCTGTGGCTACGGCTGTGGCTTTGGTAATTGCAATTGCTGCACTGACATTTTGTCGCTGACGCTAGCGTCATTTGACTCTCGCTGCCGCCAGCATTCGCATTCCTGCTGATACTGCTGTCAATGTTGTTGTTGTTGCGGCTGCTGCTGCTTCTGCTTTTGCTACACTTATTGGCGCTCCTAGTGGCCAAGGTTAGTAGTGTAGCAGCTGCTGTTGTTGTTGCGAGGAAATGTTGCAAACAACATGTGAAAATAGTGAAGAGCATGCAACAAATGCTACAGTAGAAATTACCGCTATACATGCTGCTCGAATTGTGCTGCATGGCGGCAGGATGCTCACCTGTAACGAGTGGAGCAGAAAGGGAAAGAGATGCCTGTTAAGAAAATTGCACTAAAACTAGTGGAACGATCATGAATAAATAACAGTGAATGTGTGGTAATAAAAAATGCAGAAGAGAAGTTCAAGTAATGGCAGAAAGAAGTGCCAGCTCACAGAAGAATAAAAAAATANTATATATTTAATGGACATAAGTATATATTTTGAAATCTAAATAAGGAAACAAATTGGAATTTCTCGAATAACAAACAATTATTATAATTTGTCTACTCATGGAATTCTCAGAGTGAGGTTTCGGGAGGTCGTTCATTAGGAACCACAAGATCGTAAATAACTTAGATCAAATTTGATATCGACTGCTGATTAAGTTTATATTAATGACCAGAAAAAACATTTTTGTATTTATTCGTAATCTCCACCCTTTTTTATCTTCTCTACTCGCCGCGGTTGCCGAGTGGTTAGCACTGCGTGCTGCCATTCGGAAGGTTCGGATTCAAATCTCTGTTCGGCCAACTTCCAACACTTGTAAAAAATTAATTTAAATAAAAAATTGAGCTAAATTTTCTAACTGCCGTCGCCCCTCGGCAGGGAATGTCAACCCCTCCGAGTGTATTTCTGACAAGAAATAAAGCTCATCATAAAAACCCATCAGCCATGCTGAAGCGGCTTTGTATATACTGTAGGTCCCTCCATTTGTTGGGAAAACACCAAGACCCAAAACAAAAAAACAAATTGGAGGTTGAACTCGGCAGAAAATCGCTTCAGCGGTTACCAAGCGCCAATTAGTTATATACAATATACATAATCGCTATTGATTTTCCTGCATTTCCTAAGCATATAGATCCACTTCTGGAAACAGTCTTCAAAATCTTTGCTTTTTAAGCTAATCAAGTTCAGCATTAACCGCATTAATTATCTTCTCGTTGCCATTAAAGACCTTTCCTTTCAATTTTTTTTTTAATCACGGATATAACCAGAAATTACAAGGTTCTATATCAGAGTAATAAGGTGCTGGACGTATTTTTTCGATCGCAGAGATTGCAATAAAATGACTCGTTATTTCAGCAGTGTGGGATGGCGCGGTGCAATGATGTAAAGAGTTGCGCTGGAAATCCTCTTTCTTCCGATTTTCCAAAAAATGTTTGAAAACTTTTGGTAAGCATACTTCGGTATACTATTTTGCAGTTATCATCTGACCCTTTACCAATGGAAAAGTGTTGGGCTCCATACCATGGACTGCTGTTTGGATTCTGTATCCTACTTATAGAACCAAGATTTGTCACCAGCAACGACTTTAACAAAGTTGCTTAACTGATCATTTTCAAGTCTGTTTAGGAAGAAATGATTGATTTAAAATCCGTGGCAGATTTCCTCTTGTATACGAGAGGATTACTTAATATTCTCGAAGGCCATGGCATTCAAGCTCAATTCATTAGCAATCATCTCTTGTGTGAATGGTGGGGTCTTGTCAATTTTGGACTTTACCAGAGCCACAGTGATGTGAAAGATCTATATGTAACTCATTAAATATTTGTACTGGCTGTAAATAACGTCCAAGCTGTCCTCAACTATCTTGCATTTTCTCGTCTCCATTTCAGCCGATCGTTCTAAAATGTGAAAGGCAGACTAATAAAGTAATTGCAAAAGATTTGGTATTTTTACAAGTAACAAAAACAAATTGAAGGTCACCAACTGACCGAACTTTTGCATGCAATTGTCTTCAATCTGAATGGAAGTTTTTAATCGTTGGAGCAAATATCTCCAAAGTGGGTTAGCCAACTTGGCCAGCTCAACACCATTCAAAGAATTGAATTATTTCGAGCACCATTAATGCCGATCGTAAGCGTTCCTTGCGCAGAAATTTTTTCTTCATAAAAATTTTGGTCGCAAATCGCCAATTACACAGTCGATTATTCATAGCTTAACGATGAAAATTGTGGTTTTAGTATACTGGTGCCTGGTTAGATTACCTCGATCTTATTTCGATAAATTCATCAAGCTTAGCTGTAGAGAGCTCGTCTGCCGTACAGTTTTTCTTCAGGTCCGTATAGTCAGGAACTCGTATGAGAAACAATCTGTTCTAATTTGTTATCTCCTGGAAATATCGACAACAGTTCTTGTATAATTTTTGCGTTCCTTGACTTCGTCTGAAAATAAAAGGTCTTGTTTGCGAATTTGATTCCGCTATAGTCTGCAGTCTCCATAAAGGCTCCAACTGAGACCTGAAAGTAGTAGTAAAGAACAGGCAGTTGAAAGGAAAGCCCAAGGTGAGTATTTTTGGGAAATCACCGTAATCAACTCTGCCATTAGTTGCGAGGCAGACGTGTACATAAATTTCATGGCTAATTACGGGAGTCTCGAAACCAGTGTTACATTTTACAATTTTTGGATTTTTCGTCTGGTTGTTATAACAGCGTGCCTGCGATGAACAACAGAAGTCTGTATTGCTCAGGATGAAAGTTTACTTTTCGACGATTTCCGGGAGTCCAACTCTATAATTAAGGTGGCTAGTGCTGTTGTCTGCTAACCCAATAACTTTATTGGTAAAATGTTCAGAATTTGGTTTAACCAACCAATGATATTTAAATCCAACGACTGATCTTTGAACTAAAAGCATTTTTACGATCGACGATCGCATCCTCATGTCTCGTTTTTATGCTAGTCTTAAATTTCAATGGCCCGAAACGACGCTTAGAAATTTTGCTTTGACTCTCAGGCTTCTCCTTTTGTAGACACCTCTGAAACGATTATAGCTGGAGGTGCTTAAATATCATCAATGCATCAAGTTAGTGATCTGATTCGATGTGAGGTCATTCGAACGTATGCAAAGTTAGATAGTTGGAAACACACCTTCCGTCAATCCCAAGCAATATTTTTCTGGTACCAAAGAGAACCAAATTTATAGCCCAGGTGCGTTAATAAATCGTTCTTGGTCACACCGTCCCTTCCATTGGAGAGTGACCTCGAATAAAAAAATTCATTTTCATGCGATTTGTGACTAGAGATACGTCCACCGAAGGGGATACCAGCACACGATGACGGAGTCTCTCTCTCCCACCACAACTCCAACACCAAATTTTTGCTCCTTTATATAATCGGTGTAGCAGATTTCACAAGGACTCACCTTCTTCCGTCCGGATTTTGCTTCATAGTTTATTTTTTATATGGTGGGTTTCAAACCCTACATACGAGCCCAGGAGGATTCGTTTTCTTACTTAAGCTTAATTTTAAGCGGGTGACTTTTGGCTGCTCAAAAAATAATTAGTCTAAGAGTGAACTATATGTGAGAGAATCGTTTCTGGCCTCTCACAGGTAAATGGCAGTAAAAAATTGTTCTCACATGCTATGCCCCATCTTTATCGGCTTAAACTGACAACGAAGTAGAGGTCTTCCTTTCCTCTGCTTCTACCAGCAGGTACTGCGTGGAATACTTTCAAAGCTGAAGTGTTTTCATCCATGCAGACGACATGACCTAGCCAGCTTATCTGCTGCTTCGTGATTCACTGAACTAAGTCGTTGTCGCCCTATAACTCGTACAGCTCATCGAATGTCAATGAGCCATATGGATAGACGGGTATAATGAGCGCCTTGTAGAGTATCGTTTTCTTTCTCCGAGAAAGTAATTTACTTTTCAACTGTCAACTCAATCAAAAGTAGCACCTATTGGCAAGAGTGATTCTGCATTGGATTTCCAGGCTGACGTTGTTGTTGGTGTTAATATATATATATATTCACTATATATAATTGGTTTAATACCAGACCCTTTCGCTTCGCTTCTTAATCAAGCCTTAAGGAAGCAGAACTCATGGTGCATTTGTTGAGACCAATAATGTCGATATCATCGACATACCCTTTCTACAACCTCGTTTGGTATGACTGGCGCGGAAAGGTCCTACAAACCCTGACGGAGCTTTTAGTTTGGCTTCTGATCAGTTTCCATAGCCGTATAAGTTAAGCGGGGATACCAATTGCAAACATAGCTGCGTAGAGGCAGCTCCTTTTCGTGCTGTCAAAGGCGGCTTTGAAATCGACGGAAAGGTGGTATGTGTCCATCCTCTTTTATGAGTCTTTTCTAAGACTTGGCGCATGGTGTATATCTGGTCGATGGTTGACTTACCGGATCTGAAGCCACACTGATAAGGTCCAATCAGTTTGTTGAGGGTGGGCTTCAGTCTTTCGCACAAAACGCTGGGTATAACCTTATATGCGATGTAAAGGCGGCTTATCCCATGGTAATTGGTGTCCTCATTTTTAGGAATTGGGCAGAGCACACTTAGGTTTCAATCGTCGGACATGCTTTCATCCGACCATACTCTCCAAAGAAGCAGAAGCATGAACCTGATCAGCTCTTCTCCGTCAAGTTTGACGGTAATCCGTCAGTGTACGCCGATTTCTTTTATTTTTTTAGCTGGCAAGTGCTATTTGCATTTATTCATGGCGAGGTAATGTCTTCTCCATCGTCATCGATTCGGATTTCGTGGTCACCAGCCCCGAGTATTTCGTTATATTACCATTCAGCAGGCTGGAGAAGTGTTCCCTCCATAAGTTCGTATTAAGTACAATAACCATAATTGGGAAAAAATTTAGAAAAATTATTATTTATTTCTAAAAATCTGAAAATTAATTTTAAAATAAGCAGACTTCAGATATCCATATTTGTGCTATAAATTTGTGGTCAGCAAAAACAAATAACAATGTTAAAGCGCAATACCAAAAACTCTTTCACTTCCCACTCTCCCAAGGGCCGATTAGAGCACATTGTATGTATGTTTATGTTGCTTATTTAAAGCAACAATAAGAAGAAGAAGAAGCGGGAAAAACACCTGCATAGTAAATAACATAAAACAGGTACGAAGGACGAAAAAAGTCAACAAAGTAACGGTAACAATCGCAGTTAAAAATGCAAAGCATGAAGCATGAGCTATTCAAACAAACTTGTAATAAAGACTGGATTGGAGAGTGAGAGATTTAGAGGCAAGGACGTGTTTGGGCGGAGGGAACTA